TTAGGCTGATTTTAGCCCTAATTCAGATTTGCAATTCACATTTTAAATGTCAAGTCTAATTTACGAAAGTAAAACGTCGTTCATTTTTCTAAAAAAGAAATAATAAAATTGATAAATTTTGTTTTTCATATTCAAATGCTAGTATCTGTTTTCATATGCGTGAAAATTTTTTTCTATTTCCTTTGTTGTAAAAATAGAAAACAAAACATATGAAAATAATTTAGATTTATTACATATGTCTTTGAATGACAAAAAAAAAAAAATCTCAAAAGAGATACATGTATTTTTAACATAAGATATAGTTTAAAAAAATGTAGTAATTTTGACCTTTTCATAAAGAAATAGAATACATGTATATCATAAAGTAAGAACATTAATTAACTTTAATATTCTTACAAAAAATCAGTCGATTACAACCTGTCTTGCTACATGTATATCACGTAGTGCATGATACATGTACATTTTTTTCATATGTTTATTTTTGGAAGACAACACGTTCTTGTATAGTATTAATGTCCTTATCCCTAACTTGTATCAGTCGGAATCCATGTTCCTCTATCTTTTTCTTCTTTCGTTCATATCCCCATCCTACACCTAAACCCCCACCGGAGGGACCCGATAAACTCAACGGAAGGCACGAAAAGAGACTAAGAGGTAACTCCATCTGTGCTGTTGGATCATTGATTAGCTTGTGGGGATAGGAGGATATGGGAGGGTCATATGTTGCTACATATCCATCTGGTTTCAGGACCCTCTTTGTTCCTTCAAGCATGGCGTCGACCTCGAAAGAATCGTGAAGAACGTCGTTAATGAAGACAAAATCAAACTTCTCTGTCCAATCCTCTGGAAGTTCTCCCCCTTTTCTGCAGATAAATTGAATATTTTTCGTGTCACAATTTGAGAGTTCTTTTTTGGCGTGATCTATGGAGATGGGATCTATGTCAATACCATAAATGCTACTCTCAGGATACAATTTAGCTATTTCTAAAGTAAACTTTCCGTAACCACATCCAAGATCTAGCATAGTGAATTGGTTCCCTGGTTAAAGAAAAATGGAGAGTCAAATTAATGAGAGAGAGAGAGAGAGAAATTAAAATCAACAAAACTCACTTTATTATCTTTATACCTTGTTTGAGTTCCAGTACTGGGACAAACAGCTCTTTTATCCACTTTTGAATTGCTTCCAGGGTAAAGAAATGACCCCACCAATGCAGGAAAGGCTCGTAGCACCCGTAACCTTAGGGGTCAAAGTAAGCGAAAAGATTGTATATATGCTAACTGAATATATGTACATTATGCAAAATATGACTTCTCTATTATTTGGAAAGAAATCCTGCAACTCAAGCAGCTTGGGAACTTTACATGTAAAATTTATGAGGGCTTATAATCTCAAACGTTACATGATTCTATACTTAGTCAAAAGGGTTTCACTTAAACTCTTTATACGGATTTCCAAAGACTTGTTAAGCTTTATTTTTAAACAATAATCTTCTCATAATAAACTCATGTATCTTTTTAACGTTTTAATTTGCAAAGAGCATCTATATCAAAATTTAGTTAGCGCTTTTAATATTTTCAAAACCTCCGAAAAATCTTGTAAACCAAAATGAGACCTCGCGGTCCATCTTCTGACATGACGTTTTCTAGTCGAGGAAACATCTCACAGAGTATAGGGAGGACAGAGGCAATGCTACAGCATTCCCTCACCACAGGCTCTTCATATGGAAGTGAGTATTTGCCGTCCTCGTGAAGTCGGACTATTCCTGCCGAAATCAGGCAACCCAACCATTCTTGTACGTACCTGTAATAAAATGTATATAAATATAAATACATGTTTTTTGTTGAAATATTGATATTTATTTCACGTGATAGGGGCAGGATTTTTTGATATTTTCACAAGTGCGAAGCATATTGAAAATTATAAAAAAAATTGTTTATCCTGCAACATATTCTTTACATTTGAACGTCCAAAACAAGCTAAAAAGGCACATTGCAGTTGAAACTTTGGCGTAAACATTGCAATATATTACATTTTTAAAAAGTTTCTTTATTTTTCCTTTGCTTTTGTCTTTTTAGGTTACCTTTATAGGCTACATGAAGTCATAGTTGAGCGGTTAAGAATAATAGCTAATAATACATGAGGTAAAAACATTAAAAATTAATTTATCAAACATATTTTGGGTAAATTTTTGGACAGTTTTATTTTCTGCAGAATTTTTATTTATTTTTTATGACATAAATAGAAATGGTCACGATCACAAGATTTTCTTCTACAATCCAACTTCTTACATTATGTGAAAAAAGTTTGAAAGTTTTACCGCATGGATATTTGTCACACTGTGGTTTAGATGTCATTTTGATAGGTTTCACCTGGCGACAGGATATCAATCGTTATAAGCCTTTCACACTGATAATGTGATATCAAAAAAAAATAAATTACATGTTAAATTTGATTTTAAAAAAGGCCTAAAAATAAAATTATTTAATGATACATGTATAAGGAACAATAAAAATTAAATTCAAAATCAATCTTTAACGTTAACTGAAACAGGTCAATGTAAGAGAGGAAAATCAGTTGACAATGACGACTGAATATCCACTGTCAAAGGATCACACCTGTTGTGTGTTCCTTGTCACGATCGGGAACACAATTAACTGTGAAAATAAGGAGCTTACAATTTGTATTAAAAAAAGGTCAGTCAGGTTTGACTTTCTGGCAGATTTGGTGTATTGGGTGACTATGACGTTGTTTCGATCAAAGAACTTGGAAAAAGATTACTTTATTCAAACGAGAATTTTAATATTCTTGTCACGTCAACTTGTTTTGCAAATTCTATCTCGTTTTAGAAATTGTTCATACGTAAAGCAATTGTTCTTGCATATTAAATCAACTCGGAGACATTAACCATTGCAATATAGGTATATTACTGAATAAATTAGGGAAGTTAACAATAGAAAAATTGAAGTTATTGCGTTTATCTTGAAGTTCTGTAAGTCTTTATGTTGCCATCAACGTATTTTTTGTAAAATAGCCAAATAAGAAACAACATTGACAAACTGTGTGGCACCTTTAATTTCAAGTTCATTGAGATTAAAACATTCACAAGATAACGACTCAATAATGGGCTTGTTTACTAAAAATGATAAAATGATAAAAAATAACAACCGGTTATTATACTCATTGGAGATACTAAAAATACATATTTATAACATACTAGTTTACGATATTTTCGGGAAAAACTAAATAAAAACTTTTTACATTGTTCTAATGCCAGAGTTACATTGTACTTCTGTAGCTAGCCAAGGAAAATAGAGCTAGAAGAAGCAACCTATGACTACTCCTATAGATAAACGCACGAGCTAACCGACTTGATACTGAGCTTTAGGTTTTGGTTACAGCTTCTTCTCCGCAGTATAACATTTACTGTGCAAGTAAATGCCTTCAAGGATTATATATAATGTAATGGAATCATATGGTAGTTAATCATCATAGATGATAATACCTATCTAGTGGAGCAACATTACAGGACATAGCGTCCAATAAATATATACAGGTGACTCTCGATCTCTCGAAGTTCAAGGGACCGCGAGAAAAGTTCGAGAGATCGAGGGGTTCGAGAGATGGAAAGTAAATAAAATCCGGAATTTTCAGTTCCGAACATCGAAGTTCTACTTTTACAGATACCGGAAGTAAATGTAAATAAAGTCATTGCAAGTTTTCAATCGTATTTTACAGGTAATTTACTTGATATCAACAACAATGATTGTATTTTGAAGAAATAAAACGAATTCCTAAAGATTCAATATTTATTTGTTCCTATTTCTTGATTACATGAAACCCGAATAGCAATATTGTAGGTTTGGCTATTCCGCGACTTGATCGTCCTTCACCAGTATTCACCAGATTTTTCTTAATCGGTATTCTGTCCTTGAGAAAAGAATTTCTTGTGTAATATTTCCGATACTGGGATTATGTAGACTCTATATAATCATAATGAAAGTTCATAATCTATGGGAACTGACTAAAACGAACATATATAAATTAATTCCAAAAAAATTATCGTCTCGGTTTCAATTCAAAATAAGTTGTGAATTTGTGTCTAATTTACCCTGTGGATAATAACCAATTAATTATAACAACACACGGAAGACCCACAGGTGTAGTGTCATCTATGTCAACACCCAATTAACACCTCTATGCCAGCCCAAGGCTATCACTGTTTCCAGGTAAGTCCAGACTGCATTAATTTTACGCTTGATTGGCGTATATACACGCGCAATCAAAACTTCGAGAGACAGAGAGTAAAATTCAATGAAATATGTGTAACGGGACCCAGATTTTGGTTCGAGAGATAGAGAACTTCGAGAGATCAGGAGTAAATTTGCTTAGTTATATAGAGGGAAAAAACGGGACCGGGGGTTCACTTCGAGAGATCGGGGTTCGAGTTATCGAGAGTCACCTGTAGTTTCATTAAATATATCGGCATGTTAACCATGATAGATACAGCATCCCTTATTTTTTGTAGCATATTGAGTGTACATGTATCTATACCAGTTGATGTGATAAGAAAAAGTATTCCAAGAATTTCTGAAACAAAAGAAGCCACTGACCTTAAGTTGAAGTTTACATTGGTGAAACAAGGATATCAAAAGCCTCTTTCTCATGAATATTTTGTAAGTGACTTTGGCGGATAAATTGATATTGTCACTAACTCAAGTTAACGTGAATGATAATTGACGATTTTCAAATTATTACGGTCATTATTTTCACACTGATTTGTCGTTTAACCGGTCACATCAAAGAGGATAGGGCTGATATGGTCAGTCCACAAGGGATGCTTACTCCTCTGACACTTCATCAACCTTTGATGTTTTTGAAAGTCCATGTAATTATTTTTTCAATGGATTTTGGATAATTACTGTTTGTTATATTCATAGCATCTACTTTTTGCAATTTTCTCTTAATTATACGTATATTTTGCAGTAGTACATGTTCCATGCAAAAGAAAGGAAATGAATACTTTTTTTCTTAGTCAGACCAGTATCTGACATTCATGCATACAATAAACAAATGCGCCACATAGCAAAAATGTAAAAGTTTAATAATAACTAGGTTACGTTCTTAAAATAGATATCAACAAAGAAGACGTACCTTAATTTTTTACCTGTCTTCTGACTTAGCTCTTCCGCAGAACAGGGGTGTTGTTCTTTGAGTAACGCATCAATTAATCCGACTTTGTATCCAAATGCAAAAACCAGAGTGCTAAGTCCATCCCTTACTATCTGTTGTAAATCTCGAAGACCTGATGCCGACGCCATACTAGTATTTAAACTTTACTGTTGTTATCATATTTCAGTGTAGACAGTTGTTACGTGTAAGCATGTAGTGTTGAAAGCCCGTTTTCTTAGTTCATGTGATGAAATATTTTATTACTGATTTTGTAGACTGATAGAATGCACTTTACCGGTACAGCCGCCATTTTGATTTTAGATCAGCGCAGAGACGTGGAGTAAAAGGCTAGCAACGTATCAACTATGATGAATGATGCCACTTTGTTGTGTCAGGACTTCCGAAGCGTGAAAAAAGGTGGCATTCTATAAATCCTGGCCTGGCCCTTTTGACCTAGCCTGGCCTAAAGGTTGGCCTGGCCTCTATTTTGGCCTCTAATCAGCTAATTTGGCTTCAATCCAAATTTTGGCCTGGCCTCAAAAGTTGGCCTGGCCTCAAATTTGGCCTTGGTAAAAAGTTTTTTATTAGTTTTAGTTTTTCAAAGATAAAGCAGATAAATGACATATTTCTGTTGATATGTAAATGTGAACATTCAAAATAATCATGTACTACCACCAATATAATTTATTTTATTGATTATCAATCGATCAGTGTATGTACACTTATTTCATTTTATGATTTGATGACAGGTATTTCATAGACAAAAAAGTATCAGAGTTTATTTTATGTTTTCCAAATTGTGCACATTGAAAATATCTCTAGTACCGGTAATAAATCATGTCAAATTTCATTAATAGCTTTGAAAAATTCCCACTTGTTAAGTGATAAATCATCACCTTTCACACACTGTAGAGTGTTGTGTTACTGTTGTGCCTGCATTATCTTAAATGTGATATATGAATACAGGCACAAAGAATTTTTAAACAAATATACGTCCATATACCAATGCAGATACCAAAATATTTATATTATACTAATTTGATTACTCTGTTAAAAATTCATATGTACTTTAATCTCAGAACAGTTGGTATTTAAAAAACTAATATAAATAATATTATCAGATAATTTATAACTTTCTGTTCCTGTAACACTGTAATTGGATATCCAATGACAAAAAATTCTGCAGCATGGTTCTTGACAGGGAGATAAGGTTGAAATTAATTAGTAATGAAATGTATATGTGCATAGGCTGTTAAGCCATCCATGATTTGTAAAGAATTTCCTGCTACAACTTTCACTACCTACAATTATCAAAACAAAAGTTGAGTTTGATAATAGTTTATTAACATTTGTGCTGTAAAACAATTGCATCCTATCAACCAGACCGTTAGAACCCTATTATATAAAATGTGGCCAATTACATGCATATCATAGATTGACACATTTGTTTATCAGTTTGTAAAAGTAGTCCAAGTCATCAAAAAGATTTTTTATTCTGAATAAAGACAGTTTAAGGAAAAAATTGTAACAAGTGATACTTAAAAAAACAAATTTAAAATTCTTTTTAGTTCTTAGGTAAATAACTACCCATCTGCATGTCTTTGTTGTCTTGATAATTTATACTGATGTTTCTAAGTGTTTTACTCTGTAAAATCATCAATCCTATATGGGAAGTCTTCAGAATTGCAACTGATCAATAGAAAATGAATAAAATAAATCATATTGGTTGTAGTGTATTATTATTTTAATGTTCACATTTACATATCAACAGAAATATATTACTTACCTGCTTAATCTTTGAAAAAATGAAACCAATAAAAAAAAATCAATCAAATCAATCAAATTCTGAAAAAGAAATTGTTCTTGAGTGAGGCCAAAATTGAGGCCAAAAATTTTTACCGAGACTAAATTTGAGGCTAGGCCAACTTTTGAGGCCAGGCCAAAATTTGGTTTGAAGCCAAATTAGAGGCCAAAATATAGGCCAGGCCAACTTAGAGGTCAGGCCATGCCAAAGGGGCCAGGCCAGGTTTTATAGTATGCCAAAAAAGATAGCTCAATTTGAATTTGTGCATTCTTAAGCTTGAGGTTGGGGCGGTAGCCCTCAATAAGTATAAAAAAAATTTAAAAATGAAAACCTTAGTCTTAAAGATATATGCGCCAAGATTCAAATCCATGTAAATGTAGTTATATTGTGTCTTTTCTTTCAGTTGTAAATGCGTTTCTTCATGGCGAGGAAGGAGATAAATTTATAATTTAAAAAACCAACTTAAAAGAATTAAAGTTGATTTTGTCAGAAGGTTGTAAAATTGACTCATGGGCTATTTTATTGCATTACTATTAAGAACAGAGAAACTTGATGCTGTTTTGTGATCAACCATGGAAGATGTAATTATGGGTTATTTACCTTAATATATAACACGTTGGAAATGCTAAGGACATACGAGTATGTAGAACTAGTGTGAGGTAAAACATCATTGCTTGCAAGTTTTTCCAGCAGATTGATGTATGGAACCCCATATGGTAACACCTTTTATAATTGAAAGGTATAGTCAAGTGATTTCAGTATTTGACCTTATAATTCTCGATTACCTGTAAGATGTAAGAACATTAAATCTTATTATACCCCCCGATTGAAAAGCGGGAGGGTATATAGTAATCGGTATGTCCATCCGTCTGTCTGTACATGTACGTCCGTCTAGCTGTACGTCCGTACGTCCGTCTGTCTGTTATACTTTGGGGTACCCATATTTTATCCGCAACTCCTCACATACCACTGAGTGAAATTCAATGAACGTTTCACAGAATCTTTATAACATATTGCCATTGTGCACCTCCTATTTTACATTTTGATTCGTCACATATTTTGGGTTTCCCGTTCAGGGCAAAAATGGACTTTGCCATTATAACCATGTGAGAGGCCGGGGGTATCATATCATTAAGTGAGCTCATTGCTCACAATACCTCTAGTTACTATTACAAAATACATCTATTTTATGCTGAGTGTGTCATACAGCTTATAGCATGTGCTGGGAATGTCATTCTGTCTAATTTCGACGAAAAAATCCCTAAAGCACGCCAAAAATAACAGAACAAAATCGTTTTGAAAAAAGTTTTTACTCAATATTTTTCTTAGATTACTAGTAGTTATTTTAAGTATTAACAGTGTTCGAAAAAGATATCGACTTTCATTCAATAAATTGTCTTGATCGTTTTCAATACAAGGAAAATGAACTTTTATGAATTAATAAACTGTTTTATGGCTTCTCAATTAATTTATTTATTTCTTGAATAGAAGAATGATGACACTTTTTATACCCCCGCTTGAAAAGTGGGAGGGTATACTGTAATCGGTATGTCCGTCTGTCCGTCCGTCTGTCTGTTACGCTTTGGGGTACCCATCTCTTATCCGCAACTCCTCTTATACCAGTGAGTGAAATTTAATGAAATAACATATTGCCATTGTGCACCTCTATTTCACTTTTTTAACCGACACATATTTTGGGTTTTCCGGCCAGGGCAAAACATGGACTTTTCCATGATAATCATATGGGAGGCGAGGGGTATCATTTAGTGAGCTCATTGTTCACAGTACCTCTAGTTTTGTACTTTTGCTCTTTTCCGTTCGTTTTGAATGATACTTTATTGATATTTCTAGACATAAAAACTGAGTTTTTGCCTTTCTATCTCGGCAATGATTTAATTTCTTTTTATTGATAGAGTTTTCATCATTTTTATTGCTAATTTTGGTGATATTTATGAGCATCATTTATACAGCTTTTAAGTTATATTTGTTCTGTAACTATATGTAGTTAAATGTATTATGCGCCACAAGCATTCCTAATTTTCCCTTTGATTCTCAGATTAACAGTGCAGTAATTTTCTGTTTATTAGAGGATATTACCGACTTAATTTGACGTTGAATAAACAACCAACACCCAGTCGTATAGTAATCTGAATATCCCAATACTTAAAAGTCGTTGTATATTATAATAATACAAGATGAAAGCATTTTCGACTCCTTTTTTTTTTTTAGCTAAATAAACATGTGATTTGTGCCTGTCTTGTGATATATTTGTTTAACTAGGGAGGATTTTCAGTAAAAAAAAAATAAAATGATTTCGGAATCTGAACCCTAACTTAAAGTAAATGAGATATTTGTTTTTATTCAGCTCATTGTTTATCCAAAGAGGGGTACAATTGACTCTCGGTGCAGTGAATAATATTTCTCTCTTGTGATGAGAAAATGTAATAAAAAATGCAGCACTTGCAAATGTCAGTCAATTTCTCTAATCTAAAAATAATAATAACACGCATTTCTTAAATTCTTTAATTTTACTTGGAAGTTGCAACGAGCAGTTCAACATAAAAGGGGATTATTGTTGAATCTTCCATCGCATCCGATTCCACGTCTTAATGTTCTTTAAGGAGGCTAGGGGATCAACAAATTAACCGCAAATTAACTAAAAGATTTAAATTATTTTTTTTAGATACGCTATCTTAAGCTGTCAACTATCATTTGGCAAAGGAAAAATTCATACATTTAGTTTTAAAATTTGATCATTTTTGTATATCTTTATATGGAGCTCTTCTTTTAAAGGAGATCAAAATAGTCTGAAAATGGCTGCCACCCCCCACCCTCTTTAAAGATTATTATATGTTTATTCTGCTCTTAGTTTGTATAATTTCAATGGACTCTTGGGGTGAAGATTTGTCTTTTTATGCTTGCCTGATTACTGTTCAATATCTTCATTTATCATCCGATTCTTACCGTTCACGGTAGCTCAGTTGGAAGAGCGCTCGCTCCGTGATCGGGAGGTCGTGAGTTGGTATCTCGGCCGCGATTGACCTAAGTCGATAAAAAATGGGTAGCAACTGTTCCTTCGCCATGCGCTCGGCACTTTGAAGTGAAAGTTGCGGGTCCTTAGGATGAGACCATAAAAACCGAGGCCCCGTGTCAGCGGCAGGCGTTGGCACGATAAAGATCCCTCACAGCTCAATGGCCCTGGGTGCCGAGTAAAGGTCAAAATTTGAAGCCCTTCACCGGTATACGGTGACGTCTCCATATGAGTGAAAAATTCTCGAGAGGGACGTTAAACAATATACAATCAATCAATCAATCATCCGATTCTTGGTCAAGAATTGTAATGACAAATGAAATGGCACTTAATATTGCAAAAAGAACGTTAATTAAGTACGTAACATCACATCACGATATGATGCATCAGTAATTTGGTTTATGATTTAAAGAATGAATCGTTTAAACGTCCTAATTTGGCCCCCCGATAGTTTA